GCCAGCGCCCACCCCCTCCGCCAAACACCCGCCGTCCCGGCGGCGGGATCCTCCTCCTCTTCCTTCTCGGGACGATTTCGCAGACGCCACAGACACGACAAGGAAATCTTTTTTCCCCTCCCAGTGACCCCAGAAGTTTTTTTTCTTCTTTTTTTTTTTTTCTTAAAAAAAAAAAAAGCAACAAAAATACCAAACTTCCAGCCCGGCCAGCGGAGGGAGGAAAAGGGGGAATTGCTCACACCGCCTCCAGCTGCGGCATGCGAGGCTGCCAGCCCTCGGCAGCGCACACACGGTTTAAAAGCTGCCCTGGGAGCCCTGGGAAGCCTAAACGGGGACCCCGGCAGCCGCGCCGGCACCTCCGGGGAGAGGGGGGTCCCTCACAGAAAGGAGAAGCAGGAGAAAGGGAGTACCCGGCTGGTCCTGGGACCCCCTCGGCCTTTTCTTAATAGTCTGGTGGGACGCCATCCCTGAGGGAGCCTCCAGCAGCATCCCTTACAGGAGATGGGGAGATGGATGGGGACACACTGTAAGGCAAGGAAGAGTGTGTGGGACATACCTGGATGCCTGAAAATGCCTAAGAAGCTGCAGGGTTAAGACATACATGTGAAGGTCAAGAGTATGACAGCGTGGTGACATGGGATGCATCATCCGGGACGGGCCTCTGCCTGAAGGCAGTGGCCTCCGGCACTCGGCTTTCTGCTGCGGGGGGGCTCGGCGGGGCGCAGGGAGGTGGTGGGCGACTTCCCAGGGTCACGCCGTGGCCTGGGGCTGGAGAGACCCTTCCTGTTGGTGTGATTTGGAGAGGTCGGAGGTCGTTGCACTCACACTACGTATTATCAAATTTAAGCCAGTTTTTGCCAGCGTGACATCTGTGGCTCAGGAGGCCAGGAATTCACATGGCAACAATTCAGGCGCTGTTTAACCGCTCAGAAAAATCAGCAGAGCCCAGAGACAAGACCAGGTATCAGCCAAAAAGTGGTGCTTGGAGAACATCGCAGCTGGATCAGCTTGGGACAGTACAAAATAAGCCTGGCGAGGGGGGCACAGGAGTGAAGGATACTGAGTAGTTTTCTGTAAAGTGCGTAATTAAATAACTAGATCACACTCTCTTCAACAGATAGCATGTTGCTAGCAACTGCCTAAATCATTCAGGTTCCACATGCCTCTATGGTAAACCAACTCCAAACCAACAAATGCAGTGATGTCCCAATCTCCCTATTCAAATACATCATTGTATATTTTCTCAATTTAACTTCTACATAACAAAATTGGTTTTAGTTCACTCTGAAGCACAGTCATATGTAAAGAATGCAAACAACTGAGCCCCGTCTCTCCAAACAGAAAGGCACGTGCCTGTTTACTGCAGTCTCACTCTACAGCACCTGCAGACATTTCTTTAGAGAAATCTGCATTTTTGAAAACAGGACGGGCGATACTCAAGATGTCGGAGTGGATCCTGAGGCGCTCAGCACCGATTCCTACCAAACCAACTTCACAGAGAACGGCGCTGGGCCCACAGCTGCGATACAAAACCAGGCAAAGCAAACAACCTGAAGGCACACGCTTTCCACGGAGAGCTGTGTACCCCTGCCTGGAGCAAAACGTGTGGCAGAGGCCCACCCACTTCACCTTGGGTCACCACAAAAAGGGTTTTCCTATCGCTGTCGGGCTAGACATCTCCTGAGTGCCCCGTATTAGCTGTTCAGAGTATTCAGTGGGGCTTCACAGGCAAGGAATTGTCGCAAACCTTTGTACTGTAGGAAGATCTCCACACAGCTCCTTTTGTTTGGGGCAGGCTTTTGTGATCCCTCCTCTTGTTCCAGTACACGGTGGTCTTCCCAGTTCTTCCGTGTAAAAATAAAACAAGAAAATAAAATGCCTTTTCTTCTGACAGTTGCTGTGGTAACCTGAAATAACCACATATCCTAAGGAAGTGAAACTTCTAGGAAGAGAACTGTGAGAGTAACCCCCCTTTTTTTAAAGATGTCAGCCTTGCATTGCTTCTATTTAAGCAAGGAAAGCACTTGACTTCTGCTCATTCTGACTGGTATTTTCTGCCTTTGCAATAGAATGGTTTTTGCTGTTGTCGGCCTGCCCACAAACTGCGCGTCACTCGATAGACCTCCGAGGTTCTCAGCACTTTGTCAGAGCTCCAGCTTCAGATGGATTCTGCAAGGTCTTGGTTGGGGGTCCTTGACTTCTGCTGGGCTAAGGGTGCCGTGCACCGTCCTGTAGGCTTGAGCATTAAATGCTTGGTTCTATTTCTCTCTTTCAGTCTGGCTGGTGCCACGCTTCTGACTTAATTAAAATATTCAAATCACACAAAACCCTATGTGCCTGTCACTGCCTGCTCATGGAAAATGAGCCTATGCTGAAAATTCTGCATCTAAAGGGCTTGAAGCTGACATACTGATGCCAGATCCTGAATTTTAGGAGTATGAACACTAGAAGTAATCCTATGCCTAATGCTGCACATGTAGGATCAGTTCGTTATTCCCCCATGAGGACAATCCTGTTCCAGAAAAAGGAATCTTAATCCGGTAAAGTACAGAAGTGGAACATCCCCTTTTTGGAGCGGAAAGTAAAACTGTGGCATAGCTTTAAATCCTGCCATGGAGCACTTCTGGTGTGGCCACCCATTGCCTGTGGGCAGGTCAGTAGCCCACCACAATTTAATCTCCTTCTCAGCTCAAGCGGCAGGACATGTGTATATATGTCCTCTCACCTCCCTGGTATGCTCCTGAGCGTCCCTATTACAGCAGTGTAATGCTCGCCAGCCATTAAATCTGGGCACAACTGCTATTCATGAAATTTGGGTTAGTAATAGTCATCTGTTACTGTGTGGCTCCAGAAGTTTTGCCAGAAAATGGCTCACACATAGAAAAGAAATGTTTGCATTAGACTGGTGGAGTGCCAGGGAGGATGGCAGGACTCACTAGATTATCTGCAGCGTGGAATGTAAAGTGGATGTGCAGGAAGGACAGATAGTCCCAAAGGACATAGACATTTTCCAGATGAAAGTATCTTTTATTATCAGCACCTTTTATTGTTGCTCTACAAATTGTATCTGTCATGCACTTTTGAAAGTACATAGAGGGTGGGCATTTGCATTTGACAAGTTTTTCATGTGGATGCAGCAGGGGCAGGACACTGCACAGCAGCTGCTCTTCAGCAGAAAATGGGAAACATGCATTTGCCTTTCTTTAAAGAAAGGCTTTTACTGAAACACATTTTATTCCTTCTTGTGTGACTTGGAGGGTTACTATTTTCCATATTTTGATCCATTTTTGACACAAAAGTAATTAGTGGCAATTGCACCTTAGAGACTAAAGATGCTGACTGACTATGTGTTTTATCCCCTTGCATTTTTGTGATCTTACTGTCTCATTGGAGTCATAAAGTATTACGGGAATTCATGCATTTTCTTGGCCACTTATTAGTTTGATTTCTACCTAACAATTTTCCAGTCTTGCATTTTACTTTCACAAACTGGTAAACAATATAATTCATATAAAATACATGCAGAGTACCTACCACATACTGTTAATCAGCTTGCTGAAAGGACTCAGGCCCTGTGAAGGTTATTCTGGCCAAAAATTCACTCTCAAGTCTTTGACTGATGCAAACACAACCAAAGTGATGCAGCAAAATTGTCCGAATTTGAGAAGAGGCCAGGGCCAAATCACAGGGCTTAAGAAGCCCAAGGGCAGCTAACTCCTGCCTCTTACGCTTGCGATGTGAACCATGCCTAGAAACACAAATGAAGTTGAATGAGCCTGTGGCTCTAACCTTGTGCTGTGCCGTGACATCTGTCAGCCCTGTTTTTTTCAGGATTCTTCACTGGTGTAGTGGAAATGATAGGGATACTTGCCTTCTGTCATATACAAGCAAGCTATGAAGACTTCTGAAAGCTATTTCCATACTATCTACATTTTCTTCATGTGTCCTACCCCCTCCAGTCCACTGCAGCACCTTCTTCTGCTCTCGCCAGTTATAGTCTCCAACAATTATCATCTCCCAGACTGCATCTGTGTTTGGGAGGAACTTCATCTAAATGTCTAAGAAGATCTCTCCCTGTTATTGTTTGAAAGTCGTTTTAGGGCTCCCTTTTGCAATTACGCCTTCAACCCCCTCAGCAGAGAGGCATGATGATTCACCCTCTTTCTCTCCACATCCATGAACTATATACTTCACAGGGTAGGAAGAGGCTTTTGTACTATATTAGTAGTTAAAGTCCTCATTTTTGGCAGTAGGCTTTATAGTAAGTAATAAGGAGTATCCACTACTGCAAACAAGGGATAAAGAAAGTAGTTTTCACCCTAAGGAAAAGAATAGATAGTATCTTTTGTGAGTGCGACCAGTGAAGCTGGCAGGTTTTACTACTTCAGTTTACATCATTAACCTCTTTAAAGGAAATAGGTTATTGAAATAGCAGCAGCCACTAACCAGCCAACATGCATCTCCACCTCAAACAGAGGTGAGAGGTGTTGCAGAGTGTCTCTGGGGCAGGAACACCTAAAGACGATGATTCTCATGGAAAATCCAAGTCAGAGCTCAAGGACAGAGGCAGGCTGTGATCTGAAAGCAGCCTGGCTCTGGCAGCACTGTCAAAGAGTTACGTTTTCTGCACCGCAGTGACTACTCCTGCCAGGTGATCTGGGTTAAAACCACAGTAGTGAGGTATGGAGCAGGAAGAACCAGCCGGGGGCAGAGAGGGGAGGTATTTCCCTTAGCTGATACTGCCACCAAAACTCAAGTGATGGAAAACGCCGATCTGAGAAAGGAGTCTGAATGGCTTTAGTGCATCACCCTGGAAAGAGTCTGAGAGGGGCAGGAGGGGCACAGTGCCCACCTTCGGGGAAGAGGCCCTTTGGTTGTTCAAGACTTCCTTTACTCAAGGAAGCTGACT